GGGTTATCGATACGAATAAATTTCCATACATTTGAATTTGGATTTCCATATTTGAATCCGAAAATATTGATTTGACTTCTGGCGGGATAGGGAGTGTTTCGAGAGGTTTCCCTCCCTTTTGATTGACCGTCGATCGAACTGCAACGAAAATCGAGGGTGGGATGTATGCGATAGTTTCCACTTGACCTATACCCGAGGATTAAATCGTTTCGATGAATTTATAGTGATTCACTGGAGACCACAATCTGCTCGCGCTGCTGTTTTCCGACACGATTACGAAATCCGTCAATCGACGATTTTGGGCACATCGGAAAACTTCGGTTTTATTCCTTTCAACAGTTTTCTCATATGAGAGTCTCTCGGTAGCAACTTATTAAAAATTAATTAGTACATTTACCACGAATTTTTCGCATTTGAAATGTTCTCTCGGAAGGTATTTATTGCTACGTCGAGTGATAACGAAAAAAATTATACTATAGAATGTAGGCAGTTAATTAGCTGAAACATCGCTTCTGGCTAATCGACAATTGCGCGAGCGTGCATGACGACTAGCTATTAATTTCTGAAGCCACAAGTCTAATTCATTGAATTCAAAACTAATGACACGCGCTGGTGCCGAGATGGCTAATTTTCTGCGGTCATTTCTACTCTAAACCGGCTATCAATGTATATGTTTTTATCGAACAGCAACAACGACAGACCTGTACAAATTGATTGAAAGTTACCGATTGCTGCGCTTTAAACTTATTTCAATATATTACATGTTTGCATAATACATGTAATATAAATTTAACGTTATTTATTTATGTTATTCATATTAATAAATTAATTTTACGCACTAATGTCATTATGCGCGCATATATAATATTAAATCAGTAATAATAAAATGTTTGGATAGGATTAATGTGTGTATAGAAATGACATATTAAACAACATTCGATTAAAATAATCTTATTACGAAAGGTTCAACTTTACGACAGTTCATGGACGTTTTTGTTTGCGATGCACAGAATCTTCACGTAACGCTATAGTTAATTCTTTCTCAGGTTAAACTTCTCTGTGCACTTATTGTGTCATAAGTGGCTTTGCGTAAAATGTTATTACGTTCTGAATTACATATACGAGCAGCGCGATTTTAATTGCGAAGTTATTTGCTCGAAAGTCTTCCTGCAGCAAGAATAACGTCAGGAAACTGTTGAGCTCGCTGTAGGAATATCAGATTAAATCTATCGTGGTGAAAACTTCAGTCGGTTTTTTTTTTTCGTTCGGACGATTGTAATATCATTACGTATACGGAACTTGGTGAAGTAAGCTGACCGATTATATTTGCCGGATATAATGCAAACGATACGTGCTCGTATCGAAGTTGGCGATCCCGGTGTATGATCGTACACTTTCTACCAATCTCCCGATATTTATGAGGCCGCAATTATGTAAATTTTGACAAATCGCACGTCCTCTCCACAAATCTTATTTAGAAAACTTTTTCACAAAATCACGAAAATCGCTTTTGATCTCACGACGACATCGCAAGCCGACCTCATCTGTGCTCGTATGCAGATTAATCCCCTGCACGTGAGCACCCGTGTCTAATGTCAACGTAAATGTCTGCATGTAGTGTATCTTTCCTCTGCCAAAGTTCATTAGAATCGCAGAGTCGACGTCATTAATTTAACCAGCGATATTTTTTCAAGCAGTAGTCTCGTCCGCGTAAACGTTAATTGATTTTGCGGGAAGCCATCTCTGAGAATTCTGATGCAAACTTTCAATTGGCGACCCTTATCTCCGCAGAATTTTTTTTCTCGAAGTTCGAGTCACTTGAACTTTAGACCGCAGAAGAGGGTGGCGACGGTGGCGTATAAATGCGCCCTAAGTGCACCAGTGGATTCTCGCGCGTTACGAGACGACAGTGCGGACGAACGTCGTCGGTAGTGGGATTTTCGCGTAGTCTGCATTTCTGCTTCACCGACCACAAGCGTAACCTTATGCAATAATGGGAAAGGCTTTGGAGTCGGCCAGACTGCGGCTCTCATGAATATATGGATAGATGTTCTCGCTCAAGGTGTTTATCAAGCCGTTTTCTAGTTACATCCTTCCCACTCCGTGACATCGCCCATCGAACACAAATGTAATTTGCACCCTGGAAAGATAAAAGGGAATTTTAATTATTTTGACAACCTTTTTTTTGAGAGCTTAGTTAGATTTTTCTTCGAAGGTGGATATTCTGGGACACGCCTCGCGTGTCTATCTGGCGATTGTAGGTTCATAAATTTTTACTTTTGCTTGTATTCGATTTACTTTTTTTTTTTCACTGCGTTCACGTGTTACGGTTAATGAACATGTATATTTTACGCATGGTTAATTTTATGAACATTTATCAATCTTTGGGAAATTGCGAATTTTTCCATTTATTTCAATTATTAAATTATGCGTCGAAAAAGCGTTTATGTATTACTCTTAGAAAGAGATAGGACGCAGTTTAATCTTTAAAATTACAAGCTGACCATTTAAGAAGAACGTAGGTAACAGCGGCAAAAACTGCTTGCGTAAGTTATGGACGCCTATAAATAAAATTATAAGTAGGCTATTTTAAAGATTGTACTGAATATAAAATGCTTTATTGGGCGGCCAAAGAAACGAGTCAATAAAAAATTGATAATTGACTCTCTCTTTCACTCGTGTATTTTTTTTTTATTTATCAAACTAGAGTGTACTAAGAAAAATGTACAAATTGAAGATATACTATAATCTTAACTTTTTTATAATTACTTCGTTAATGAATTATGGTAGTTTAGAAAAGAGGAAATTAAATTTATGTTACGAGTAAAGCATAATAAAGCGTAATAAAGATATATAAAATGGGCCATGATTTTAATAATTAAACAGAGAGAGAAGTGAAGATTACCACATCGTATCCCACATCATGTGCAATATGTTTAATTATCGCGCCCGTTTTAGTCGAGAGAGTACAACATATCAAATAAAAGTAACTCGGTTAAATGATTTTGTAATGAGCCTATTCTCATTAAACGAAATCTGTGACCGATGCATTAAATAATCAATACTATTGTTTACTAAATAATGTAAATGCTCGGCAATGTTGAAACTTTGCGATAGTCTGTACGAAATGTAAATATTTGTTTGATACGTATATCGCGCACATATCTAGCCTATAATTATACGATCAGTATAATTGAACAAATATAATTGCATATTCCTTGTGTAGTAATCATTTTCAAATAAAATATCGTATGCAAGTGAGACCTTTTGCAAAGATGTCATCAGAACATGTTTACCTAGAATTACATTGGTTCACCTGTCAATAAAATGTCACTTGGAAATGATATGAGTAAAAATTGAGCTTAATGCCAAAGTATCCATGAATCAATTATGAAAGTAGTTTCAATAAAAAGTTACTGCGTCAATGGCTTAAAGCGGTGGTATATGTCTTTATAAGATCTGATAACTGTATATTAAAATCAAAGCATATAGTGTCAAAGAAATGAGAAAAATGTCGACTTCATTTCGACATCGGGTGATTCAGGTGTTACGTTATTAACGACGCGGTCGATTGCCAGTTTAGACCTTCGATTCCTTTAAAAGTATTACTAGGTGAACAAAAAATATTACTACTAAAACTTGGCGAAAGTGATTGAAAAAACAACACGTTGATTGCGTCACGATGTGTTGAAATGCAAATTTTCACGTCTCTTTCATGGTCACCAACGTGTGTAACGTCGACCGCATTAGGCGTAATTAAACATTAGTTGCAATTTCTTGGCAACTTCCTTTGTGTATTGCAAATTTATTTTTTAATTAAATAACCATCGACCATGATGCCGGGATATATAATGTACATGTCACATGGAGAAAGTCTAATTGTTACATCGTTTTGTATGTACATCGTTTCTCTATGGGTTTAGTCACGCTTATGAATCTTCTTATTATTTAATTTACGTCGAAATCGAGCTTGCTTAAAATCGGCCGTGAATTGATTGAGAAAGATTTCAATTTCTGCACGCAAACGTAAATTTCATTGTCCGAAATAGTATAACATGGTTTAATTTTGGCGAGAATTATGCGATGTCAAAGTTTCTTCCTAGTCGCAGAGGTTAATTGCTTGATAAACAGAATTTATCGATAAAAGTTATGTTTTAAATCTCGAGTGATACTTTATGAGTGCTAATAAAATGTTTATCGAAAGTGTGTGTACGTGAAGATCGTAGAATTAAATTTAAGATCGCCGATTACACGCCGTCAAATTAATTCGAACATTCCCCATCATATTACCATCCACTTATATCTTAGGCGAAAGCTTGGACGCTAAAACCTGTTATGTCTTACAGCTTCCTTAAGACTTTCATGATAATTATAATATTAAAGCAAATACGGATTTTAAGCAATTTTTTGAAATTGTATCTTTAATATTATATTTTTCTGTGAGATTGCCTACTATCGCGATTGATAATGACACACCAACTTGTAGTATATCATTTATTACTTTGCTTGTACATCGTCGAATTTCCTAATTGTCTCTATTTATACAGTGAATAGCGATGCATTGTGTAATGCGCTAAGAGCTACGATCACCGTTATGTCCAATAAAATTTACGCGAGGTGCAAAAAAAAAAGCAAATCGAGTCCGCTTATAACGGTTCTGATGTAAAAGTGAAAGAAAGACAGAAAGCGCGGATTAAGACGGGCACGCGAAAGAGTCGGATCAATTCCGCACTTTTGAATTGCGGTTCTTCCTTGGTGAGGGGATAACGATTGGTACTAGTTGAAACGAGCGACGGGGCGGCGACGTTACGCGGCCCGTATCCGGGCATCCGGTAGTAATCAACCTCGCCAAGCGGTAGCCCGTGGGAAAACGGCTTAATGTTGAACGGTTTTGTGCGGGATAGCAGCACAATCGGACCACCTTAAAGCTGGCGTTCCGGCGTTGGACGAGCGATTTTCCGGGGAGTGGGCCAGCGAGCACGGCGAAAGTGCCGGTATATATGCTGCTGATTGGCACGATGCAACTTCAGTGTGCACTCCCGAAGGCTACCATGAGCACTTCGCAGGTGAGCATGCGCTGCTGGCACAGCGGCGCGTAAATAGGGCTCTGACAAGGGTATCTTTAGGGTATCTCGCACGGCGGAGGATTATGCACGGAATTATGCGCGCGATAAATGAGGAACGCGTCGGGATTTAGTATTATTGACGGTGTGAGATAATAGTGTTGGTTTCTCACACCATCACATACAGTGTTAAAATTCTAGAGATTACGGTGCGATTCTTTGTTCCATTACAAGAGTGAAATTTTCATAAATTTACTTTAAATAGAATACGATATTAGATGTTTTAATATACTGATTATATTTTTATCTTGCAATATTTGCTCAAAATGTTTGATGTTTATGACAGACTATAATTTAATTTTGTTGTACATCATGCTTTTCTTGAAATTTTCTTTGTTTCCATTTCTTGTATTGTCGAATCATTTATATGCGTGAAATTTTTGTGAACTCCAGCGAGATCTTCAAAGCTTCCCAAGTTAACCAAGCTAATCTAAACCTTGACCATGTAGGACCGCAATTAACACACATTTATTCGCAGATCCTCGTGCTCCTCGCCCTTGTGGCGACGGTGGCTCTGGCCACTGAGACCAAGAAGTCCGACAGCAAAGGGGCCGAGTCAAAGGATGCCAAGAGCAAACGCGGACTGGAACTGAGTCTGGGCCATGGTGGTGGCTTTGGCGGCGGCGGTGGTTTCGGCGGCCACGATTTCGGTGGCTACGGCGGTGGTGATTTCGGCGGCGGTTTTGGTGGAGGCGGCGGCGGTAGCGGCGGCGGCGGCGGCGGCGGCGATGGTGGAAGAATTTCCGGCATCACGATCCATCGCGAGGTCTCGGTGCCAGTTCCGGTGCCCTACACCGTCGAGAAAAGCGTACCAGTGCCTGTACACGTGCCGGTGAAGATTCCGGTGGACAACCCGATACCGTATCACGTACCAAAGCCTTATCCGGTTCCAGTAGAGAAGACTGTACCAATCCCGGTGGAGAAACCGGTTCCAGTACCCGTCAAGGTGCCCATAAAGATACCCATCAAGGTGCCTGTTCCATATACCGTACCATATAAAGTACCTTACCCCGTGGAAAAGGAATTGCCCTATCCGGTCAAGGTTCCGGTCGTCGTAAAGGAATCGTATCCGGTCCTGGTGCATGAAGGCGGTCACGGAGGTGGCGGCGGCGGCGGCGGTGGCTTTGGCGGAGGCGGCAGCTATGGCGGAGGCGGTTTCGGAGGCGGACATGGTGGATTCGGTGGCGGTCATGAACTTGGTTTCGACCTGCATTGACGATAGTCTGATGGCAATCGATATTAATGATACTCTTGTATATAATTATTATGTTTCCTTTTTTTTACACTGTGCTGTCTTAGCAGAATAAACATTAAATTATTAACTCGGCCTCTTGTAAAGTTCTGCGTTACCTTATCCTTTGCGTTTGTTATTTACACGAGGAATTTGTTCGAAGTTGAGCTTTATTTTACAACAAGTAAAACTCATTTTTCTGAGTGTATTGTATTCTTAATTGCTCGTGATATTTCGACGATTTTAATTACATTGCGCAACTGTAGTGACAAGAAATTAATCATCAATTTAAATGTTTCTGAAACCAGCTTGTTGAATTTTCTTACGTAATACGTTTACAGAGATATTGCAAGTTATCATACTGCAATATAACTGCCACGATATAAACTGATTCTTAGTCACTTCCTGTGAAACTAGGCGGAACATGTTACAATGTGGTTACCAGGCGACATGTGAAAGTATCTCAACCAGTCATTACAGCCGTTACGGTTCCACACACAAGTTAGATGTACTAGGAAGCTTATTATCTAGTTAAGGATTATACGATAAAATCACAAAATGCACTTACGTGTAAGAAATGATACTTGTTACATTTTTATACATCCATTTAATTATAGGAATATAATGATAGATATATATTTGAAAGATCTGATTGATAGGTTTAAAGATCTTGAAATGCTTGCTTTCTAATTTTCAAATATCAAAATGTTTTCAACATATAGATTGTTGTATTAATTATATTAAAATCACATAACGTTTTATTTCAATTACATTAAAGTAAATATTAAAACATAATTTATTTTACATTTATTTATTAATATAACTTATAATCGAGTAATTACAATATAAATTCATGTTCAAGAGGTCAACGTTATGATTTCATAAATTATATACGGATATTAGGGTGAAGCCAGATGTACGTTGAACATACCGGTCAGATACCTTTACTCGACGTACAAGGTAGATCATTCCACAGTCAAGGTTGTTGGAAGAAATAATATCGAATATTTACCTCGGGCAATTCATCATTTGAGCGCATATAGAATCGCGCGTATAGAGATGTACGGTTTCTCTCGTATAAGGGGAAGCCAGCTATATGAACGAAAGAGTGTGATTTCCGTAATCTTACTTCCTTGATGGTAATATTTCCCAACGACCAACTATGGAGGCCATCAACGTTACGTAAATAGTTCGATCGATTTTACGTAACTATTATGAAAAGAAAGTAAGCACCTTTACCATTAATAAAATCCATAATGACTATCAAATTCTGTATTGGCAATCTGTAATAGCGTTTCGCTCAGCGAGTTAACTAAGTATCACTTTCATTTATAATCTGCGCCATCGCTATATGCTTTACATGCGCGTGATGCTCTATTTTCTTTTTTCTGACTTCAACCATAATCTCATAGTTCGTGTTACATCATGCCATTTACAAGACTGAACGCTCTGATTATTTTTCAGCAGGATATAAACAAGTAATTGCGATATCTTGTTAGGAATCCGAATATTGACAAACTACCGACCGACGAATAACTTGCTTTAACCCGAGGCAATCGTTATAATGGTATATGGAGATGAATCAGAACCAAAATTTGTCCTTGTTAGAAGTTGCTGTTTTTGAACTAGCTCCCCTTTATACATAATTATTATTATATACTAATAAAGGCAGAAGAAAATTTTATGTTATAATTCTTCATACGATAAACAACGTATCGAGGTGTATGTTATAAATTTACGAGTCTTCATCTCTCGTGTCTCTTCATTTAAATATCAGTCATAATAAGATTATATAATAAAAGATGACTAGTGCAATCAGTTTGTGAGAGATTTGAGAATGCAACGATCATAATAAGCTCAACAAATGATTGAATTAATTAAATGTCATAATATAAGCCATGACGGAGTACAGAAAAAACGATTTTATCTAAAAATGGAAATAATTTTATCAAAATATATATAATTATATAGAACGCCCAAATATGCATAAAACAATGCTGCAAAAGATTTTGACATTTGAACGTCTTACATAGTTACTTTACAGTCTAACAAAATTATTTTCAGACATATGTATATTTAAATAAATTTTATTTTAAATTTGTTCATTCTTTAGCAAAATCATTCCCTCCGCGTATCATAAATCGTCTCAAGCAAGAATCTTTCTGAATATCTTTAGAATATATATCGGATTTAGAATATAGAACTCTCACATTTTTCTTCTATACGAAATAAAGAAAAAAAGTAATGAAGAGATAACAAGAATTGAAACAGATTAATAATAAAATTGTAAGTTTTCGCACAGTTATTTGGGAACCCACGGATCCAAGTTTAATGCATCACGAAATTTTATAAGTGATTAAAAATAAAAACAAAGAGAGAACATGTATAATGTTTACAACTATATTTTATCCGCGCTAAGGAAGTATTTCTTGAATGAAAGAAAAGATATAATCTATATAATATTAAAGATATAATTGTTTAATCGATATAAATACAATAGAATAGATATCATAGAATTGATATTTAGATGGGAACGTATGGTCTATGCTAAAAGAAAACCGAAAAATGCCTTTTCTTCGCAAAAAGAACGTAAGCGTGACAAGAGGCGTCGCGACGTCTCGTCAGTCTAGCAATGTCGTTGTCGCCACGAACATCCGGCGCTTTAAACATCGCCATTTACTCTCACGGTTCGTTAGCCACGTGTCTCCCGCATTGGAATGGGATCGTCCGTAAAACATAGAGCTCCACTTCAATACTTTTATTTGTTTAGAGTAAGACATCGTGATTGGACGTACAGAAACTTTAATTTTGTTGTAGATCACAAATTTCAAATAAACTGATAAAATTCACACATGAACGCGTTAAAGTAACGCAAATTCGTTCTGAGATTTCAGTATATCTGCATTAACATGGAATAATGATATTATAACACATGAATATAAATCATATTATTACACTTCCTCTCAGTTATATTTCTTTTTGGCGAGAGAAATGTTATTGTTACATTTTCTGCTCGCTGCATATGCAACATTATATCTGTAATGGGGATATTTTATTTTATTTATAATATTCTATTTATTTTAGAGAGTAATGTGAAATATATTAAGAAAACATCTCAAATTGTAGTTTGTTAATCTGCCATGATATTTACTTAGAAATAGCAAATTATTATTATACATATTGAAAGTTTATTTTTATGTGAAATAATTGACAAGAGTAATCGATCGACAATATTTTTTTGAGCGAAAGATTTTTCTCTTATTTAATATGTCTACTTTAAATTGTACTATGTCGCAATCTTGGGCAATTAGCAATCTTCGGGTATACAAAGATAGAACTTGCATGATATCGTATATGCCGCAATCTCATTTTAGTGAAATCGTGTAAAGAACCAGCGATCGTTAATGTACATTTTATTGGATATGCATTGACGGAAGTTCGCTTTAAATGTCGTCTAACAGAATGACCTAGATAATAGCTGAAAGTAAAATGATTAATTACTTAAGAAAAATTTAAGAAATAAAGGTATTATTACTCGAAAGAAACACCAATATTGTAATATTTAAATTCTAACAAAACATAATATATTAAAGAAATTATTATACAAATCTTTCTATAATAGATAGATTTTTTTAAAACAGAAGATATTGGCATGTTTTTTATTTGTATCTAGTTAAATTATAATGACTTGTAGGAAGAAATACATTAATATTATTAGACAAAACATATGTGGCATAGTGAAACACGTAGTATAATATTTTCTCCGTATCGTTATGTTAACGAATGTTCGCCAGAATTCGGATGTTACCTCTATTTTGATGACACGGTCTTAAAATACGTCTATGTTTTATTTTAAGCTTGTGTTCATGTAGCATCGTAAATCAGAGAACATGATCTAAAGTCTTTCTCGTACAGTTTTAGCTTCATTTTTCATGATATTCCGCGTTCCAGAACAGATGCTCCATTATCTTGAGACTGTCCATTTTCTTTCATTTTTCGTAGGATACGCTCATACAACGACAATGATCAGATAAATCTTATAACAATTTAAAGAATTTATTTATTATTTTTTAGTAAACGAAACGTTTATGTAATATCTGTTTTAATTGTAGTTTTAATATATAAACATAATTTAGTTTATTATCACTATTTTATTAAAGATCCACATTTACATAAAATGACATTTAAAAATTTTTGCCATAGACATAACAATATTGCTTGTATATAATGAGATAGAAAAGGGAATGGAAGAGAGAGAGAGAGAGAGAGGGGGGGGGAGGGAGAGAGAGAAAATACAATTAATTACAAACTAAACAAATAAAATTTTATTTTTAATCACAACAATCTATTGTTTTTTATACGATTATAATTAGTTATTAATTAATTGTCTGCTGTAAACAAAATCTAATTATTAATTTGACAATTTAGTATCAATTATTCATACAAAATTATTCTTATTGAAGGTCACTAATTGTTAGCTAATTAATGATATATAAATATAAATTATTAGATTAAATTGGTTTTCTTTATACTGCATTGAGCAGAAGAAACGTCTTTATTAACTCATAAGACACGTCTTGACAGATTCTCAAATTAGCAAAGTTTCCTTTAATCTCGTCGTACTCCTTTAAAACATTTGTGCAGCTACAGCATCGACCTATCCGACATAAGATGCATTCTTTTTTTCCGTGCCTTAAACAGGCTTCGTTTGTTGTTGCCGGTAGCGGAGAGAAAGGTGCTGCGGAAAAACGAAATAACGTAGTACAGCGAGTATTAAAGCCCGATCGATTTGAAATCGGCACTATATATTGAGGTCGCACTCCGTCTCCTTTCGCTCTTCCTCCTTCCTCCTGTCGTGGCTAATAAGACTTCAGCTGAGAAGCCTGCTTTAAGGCCATTCCGCCGTACCATGAACGCGTCTGTTTACATAACTATAATAGTGTAATTATAACGAATTTATGCTTAGCTCTCTGAACTCCTCGTTTCTATCCTTCCTTTTCTTTCATGTTTTTTATTGCATTCATTTTTTTTTACCGCATTTCTTTCTTTCTGTTCTGTATTATTTGTATTAATGGATTGAACTCTGTAT